AACTCCCAAAAGAAATAAATTACATTGTGTTGACACGCACCCAAGCCACGAATATTATTTGTTCTTTCATACATTTGAAGTGCTTCTGTATAATGATCTAATGCCAGTTCTTGCTTTTGCAGTTGATTATAACATACGCCAATAATATTTAAATAAGCTGCTCGAATTCTAATATTATCGTCGTCTATACGGTCAAGTTCATATAAGAAAGCTTGTTAGCGTAACCCCTTCGGGGCTAAAATGTGGAACTCACATATGATCTTTTGCCTAATTTACTTATACATAATGCGTGGTGTGAAATTGACTGCAAGAAAATTGATTGGCAGAAAAAAGCTGTTACCCAAGTCACTCGATCCTGGCGGGACCCATCGAAACCGGCACCGGACCACTCCAGAAGCCGGCATGTTTCCCACTAAAATCTGCCAGGATCCGTCATGGATTTTTCCGGAATCTCTGCTCCCGGAATCAGGGCCGGAATTCAAAGGAAAATGGTCCGGTCGTTTCCTGCCGGATAATACAACCGAACATTGTCGAAACCGATCAACCCTAACTACCGGTTGATCCCGGGTTCACAAGGGCTTCACCACATCTTTGGCCGGATTCCATCAGATTCCGATGACAAGGACCTCATAAAGAAACTCTCATACAAGCATTCTTCAGCCAGAAGATGCATCAACTATATTCTTCTAGAAACCCACACCAAACGACACAACTACGCCTCACGAATAATCACACATAGTTCCTAACATCACCACGAACAGATCGCCAAACAATCATTTCCCCCAATAGCAACCACCCTGAAAAACATTGTAACCCGAACCGAACAATATCTGAGTCACCAATACACACGCTAAGAATAATCCAGAACCTTCCTGTCATACTTTTTATTTGTTAAATAAAATTCTAAACTCGTTTACCGGGTCATCGTACAGCATTTTGATTCTGGAAAAAACCGCTCCATGCATCATTTTGCACCCATCGAAATATTGCATAAATTGTAGAGAATCGTTGTGATTATCATTCTAGATCGTTTCAACATACATTTTCTTCGTAAAACAGGATTCTAAGCATCTTTCATTAGGGTGGGGGTGCTGGCAGGAAATAGTCGTCATTCACACCCGCACACGCTTGCTTCTCTTATGTATATTTTATTTATACATTCTGAACGGTTCTGAAGCTTTTAATCTTTTTAAATTTTATTTTTTGGCATATGATATTTTTGTATGTCTTCCAAGTGCTATATTTTTCCCGATGTCGATACAGACGCTGATAATTGTGAAGATGATAATGTTCAACATCCTCAGCTTGTCACTATCGATTAAAATGCACTTGCCAAACTTGTTGGGCGATGCAGCATTTTTGAAAATGAGATGCGCACTTTACAAACTAAAACCGACAAACTACTGAATATTGCTTTTGTTTCTGCCAAGAATTGATAGGTTTAATGTTTTATCTTAATATATCGATCAATTCTAGAGAATTATTGAAATCTATTTACTTTGAATAATTTTATTGTTTTGAACATTTTAGGAAAATAAAACCACAAAACATAAAGCAATACTTAATTCAGTAGTAAGTATTATTTTATTGTTTCGATACTATTCTTCCTGAACATGTTAATTTTTATGAAAGTTTTAGGGTGTTTAATTTATTCACAGTCTCGGATGCCTTTGTCTACAATTTACTGGTGCTATTTGGGATGCAAGATGTAGACTTCAGATGAAATAAAGAAACAATATACCATAACTACCACAATAAGATACTGATGTACGATTAGAGAAGGTAAGCGGTACTTTTTGTTTTATCATAAGGCAGTATTAGAGATGCATTCATTCAATGAGCTTTTTTTAAATTTTGTACGTTCTGTAAACAAAACAGCTGATTTTCACACATGACAGAAAAACAGATTTTATATAATTTTCGCAACAAATGATCGAATAACTCTCTAAAGTAAAGAGTATAACCTTTCCAATTTAGTTATGGTCAAGAGTGCACTAAGAATAGTAGAGATAAGTAATCTATATATTCCTTTTACTGCTCTCTATAATAAATTGTGATTTAAAATCTCGTCTGCTCCATTTTAGATTCAAAGCAACATTAGCAGTTGAAAGCAATAACAAATACAATATCAATACTAGTGCGAGCAACTAGGGATGTACAACCATAGGCGGCGGAGCCATTAGGCTTGGGGAGGCTCGGATATTTGAAAAGAATACAGATTTCGTCGTGATTTACTTCACTTACAATATATTAGGAAATCTGTTTCATGAATATTGTAAATTTATTGCATTACAGTTGACAAATCTCACTTCAACGACTGCGGCTCAGATATGCTTCAGTGTTATAAATGGAATAAAGACATCTACGATCAACAATGACACAGCAACGCTTTAATCATGCCTTTATTTCTCATATTCATTAAGGGAAACTAGATCAGTTAGACATGAAGAGCATTTGTTCTGAGTGTATTGCAAAAAACTAGAGAAAAGACGTTACTGGGTATGAACAATAGTTTTTGTACTTATGATATGTTTGCTTTAGTCAAAATTTAAAATGTTTTTATGCTTATGTTGATAAGGAAATAAAAATTATGATAGTATAGTCTCTAGTCGAGAATCACCTAATGAATCCCCAGGCAGTCCTTGTCGTGAGTCCTCGGCGAGTTAAGAAAAATTTGAAAATTTTCTATCGAGACTAACAAAAACCTACGTTAAAATTCGAAAGTATTTGCGAAAATTCGTAAGGAATTTCTAAAAGATGACTGGAAAGTGCCATAGAAATCTCGAGAAGTGAACGGAGAGTTTCTTGGAATTTTTAAGACACTCCACTCAGTTTTTAGAAATCTTTTACAAATTTTCGAAGACACTCGGATTTTTACGTAGATTTTGGATAGTTTCGATAGAAATTTTTCATATTTTTCTTAACTCCTCGGGAACTCATGACAGGCCCTTCTAAAAAATCCAAAATTGGTGGGGACTCTGGGGATCCGTTAAGTGATTCTTGACTAGGAACAGAATTTTCGATTGCTATGCTGCCATATAAATGGATCAATACAGAAAAGTTTTTCAATCAAAGTTGTGACAACGAATTTTAAAAGTCTATCTTCTCTCGAAATGTCGACTTTTTATCGTTCGTTGAAAA